TGAGGCGGGACGTGAAAGTTTTGGGCAGTGTGCGGTGGCCGTCGGTGGCCGTCAGTGTCCCCCGCGGTGGAAGCTTCGTTGGAGCACGTCCGCGGCCCCTCGGTTCTCTCACCTCCGGAGCTTCGTGGGTGCCGCGATGGGAGGAGCCGCCGCGCGCGCTGGCGGGGCTCGGGGTCCCTCCCCGCTGCAGACGCAGGCGAGGGCAGGGCAGGCGAGGGCAGGGCGAGCTGCCCGGGTCCCGGGGAGGAGGCTCCTGTGGGACCCGTGGCTTTTGGAGGCGAGTGCCTGGGAAGGATCTGAACTGATCTCTCAGTAATGGCCGGGACGAGGGCTGCAGGGCCTGGTGTCTCCTGTGCTTCTGAGCTGCTCGGTCCCCCCCCCCCCCAGTCAGCTTGGAGGACCAGAGGTCCCCTCCTCAGTGGCCCCCCAACGTCAATCTGACGCTGAGTCCACTCCCTCCCTCCGTAGTGTGGTTTGTGGTCCAGGTTCTTGGTGAGAAATTTCTTGCTTTTGTGAAACAGTTTTATGAGAATTGTTTGTGTGGCTGGCAGTCTTTCTGAGGTGGCATTGAAAATGACTTTGCCATAGTTCAATAAGACAGAAAATGTAACGGACTAAAGAAAAGCCTGGAAGACTTAAACTCCAAGTCCTTTTATGTTTGAAGCAGTAAGTACATTAGGCTTGCTGCCTAACTCTCGCTGGTATATTATACAATCTAGTCAGTTCATTGTAGGCAAAAGTGCTTCACAAATAGAAACATAAATAGCTGTGTGTGTGAGTGTGTGAGGGAGATCACTTGACACACATCTTCATTCCAGCATTTTGCTAGTTAATTGAAGATGGACTTTCACAAGACTTTTCTATCCCTAGCTAGCTTTGAACTTCGAGTCTCAAATCTCAGCCTCCTGAATAACTATAGGATTACAACCGTGAGCCACCAGTGATTAGTTGCTCTTTTTCTTTGGACTTACAACTTACTTTTCTTTCTTTCTTTTTTATAATTTACTTTTCTTATGAAAGGGTCTTACTATGTTGCCCAGGCTGGCCTCAAACTCTTGGGCGCAAGGGATCCTCTTGCTTCAGCTCTGGGGTGATTTTGCTTTCTACCACTAAGCTTCTAATGTTTCTCTTTAACCTGAAGTTAAGATTAAAAACAAACAAACAAGCGCACAAAACAGACACTGTCCTATTTTATACAGTGTATGTGGCTTATAAAAGCTACTGCTTGCTAAGAAACACCATTTCCTCAATGGCTAAAGTGCATGGAAATGGTAGAGCTGGGCCAGTTGGAATGAACTGTATTGGCATCGTGTTTTCTTATCTGAGGAATCTGCTTCCCACTTTAATACGTTGCTAGTGTTTCGTGATGTTCTCATATCCTGGGTTATGTGTCTAAGGATTTGAGAAACAATTTGTTTTTGAAGATTCCTACTGAACAAGAAAGTGCCTTTTTTCAACTATGAAAAGAACAAAGAAAGTTTTGGTTGCTGGTAATTTGCCTGAATTAGCTTGTTTTTCCTTCTTCTTTTCTTAGAGCTCCTTCTTTGCCAGAGAAGAAACCTCCTCCAGGGCCATGATGCCACTTCCCCATCACCCGAGGGCTGCTTGCTTCAGTTAGTGCTGTGGGAGGCCTGCTCCCTTGGAGGAATCCAGCCGACTCTTGGCATGAGGCCACTGCCCTCCTGAGGCTGAGAGGGGCACAGCCATGGCAACTTTGGATGACCCAGGGGAAGTGAGGGAGGGCTTCCTCTGCCCTCTGTGCCTGAAGGACTTGCAGTCTTTCTACCAGTTGCAGTCCCATTATGAGGAAGAACACTCTGGGGAAGACCGTGATGTCAAAGGACAAATTAAAAGTAAGAGGCGGGTTCTTTCTACTCCATTCAGCTGAATTTGTGGGATAGTTTCATAGATTTCCATGTCACTGTCTAGATCTGATGATGATAGTAGTGAACAGATAGATACCTAGTGCTTGCTGTGTGCCTGACTTGTTCAGTTGACAGCAGCTGTCCATGAGCCCATTTTGCTGGTGAGACTACCAGGCACAGGGTGATTAGGTAACTTGCCTAAAGCCACATAGTGAAGATTTATTTGAAGCTACTAAAGGTCATCACTGTGGTGTGCTGTCTCGCTAGATGATTTGAAGGATTCAAGCCCTAGCCTGAGATAGTTTGGACAGGAAGGCCTTTCCCCTGCTGTGAAAGTTAGACATACTGGGCCTGTGAGTCAACCAGGACTACAGTGAGAGCACAGGTTGAGTTGATTATTTTTAATTTTTGGTGGTACTGAGGTCTAAACTCAGGGTCTCAAGCTTACTCAGCCTACACTGTGCCACACCTTCAGCTCGAGTTCATTATTTTGATACACATTTCTTTGGCATAAAATGGTAGTTATGGTAACTAGAAGATCACTAATTATATCACAATTTCCAGGAGAGATAGGTTTTAGTATTTGGGCAAGAAGCTAAAATAAATAACACAGCGTGACATTTGCATTTAGGTTCTAAAGTAAGTAACTGTAGAGAAATCTATGCAATATATAATTTTTCCTGGTTAGTTTTCATTTGGGGACAGGAATTCTTAAATTCCCCAAAGCAGTTTATTCATCAATTGAAAGTCCAACAAACAGAATGGGAAACTAGCTGTAGTGGTAGAAAAGAAAAGCTTTCTCAATTTTAGAGAGAATAATTAAAAATATTGGAATGGCTAAGTTTACTTGATGCAGTTAACAAACATTAATTTTAACATTGATTCACTCACCCTCCCCCTGTCCTGGGGCTTGAATTCAGAGCATGGATGCTGTTCCTGAACTTCTTTGTGGTCAAGGCTAGTGCTCTACCATTTGAATCACACAGTACAACTTCCGGCTTTTTCTGAGTAGTTTATTGGAGATAAGAGTCTCACAAACTTTTCTGCTTGGGCTGGTTTTGAACAGTTATCCTCAGATCTTAGTCTCCTGAGTAGCTAGGATTATAGGCATGAGCCACTGGCACCCAGCTTAATATTGCTATCACATCTGAAATAAGTTTACATGATGTTCTGGCTAAAAATCCTGTTGGATTTAAGACTTCCTCCCTTCCCTTCTTCCCGTACTGGGCATTACCTCTTGCAGCCTGGTGAAAGAAAGGTCATATCTAAAAAACAAAGAGAGATAACCCAGAATGTTAAACTGTGATTTTGAGCTTCCAGGATTTCAGGCCCTGAAGAACTGAAGAAAGAACATTTCTGACCACACATCATGTTTATTGTATTTCTGGAATTTCTGACCCCCAAGTAAATTGTTACCCCTCTGGACTCAGTTTCCTAGTTATTTGGCCACCTTGCTTCTCACCCCCCTGCAGCGTTTCTGGAGGCCGAGAGTTAAGCAGTCTAGCTGTTGTTTTTATAATCAGCTCGGTGGTGCTCCTCAGTGGATTTTTCCCTCCCCATGTGTGAATCATGCACCTTGAGGTCAAGTGTTGCTTACTCAAGTTCCACTCCACATTTCACATTCAGGAGAAGAAAGGAGTTAGAGAAAACGTGGTTAGTGATGGCCTCCATCCAGAAACACAATGAGACCAAGCGTTTTTAAAATCCTGAGGACTGGGGCTGGGAAGGTGGCTCAGTGGTAGAGTGCTTGCCTTGCATGCATGAAGCCCTGGGTTCAATTCCTCAGTACCACATAAGCAGAAAAAGCTGGAAGTGTGCTGTGGCTCAAGTGGTCGAGCGCTAGCCTTGAGCTGAATTGCTGAGGGACAGCGCCCAGGCCCAGAGTTCAGGCCCATGACTGACAAAAAAAAAAAAAAAATCCTGAGGACTATGATTGTCAAAGTAACGTCTGGCCATGAAAGCTGGAGCACAGAACCGTAGCTGATAGAAAGATGGGGAAGAGACTCTGCTTTATGGCTTTCTGTCATTTCCTTTGACTCTCCTAACAGTCCTACAGGAAGGCCGATTGGTCATATTTTACAGATAATAACTATGGTTCAGAGATGTCCAGTAACTTATCCAAGGTCATGCAGGAATGGCCAGCCCCAGTTCTGGAACACAGACCTGCCACCTTCTAAGTCCACTGCTCTTTCTGCATTACTGACGGTGACGTGCCCTACATTCTGTTCACAACATGCGTGGCGACTTCCTGAGGGCGGTGGGGACAGGAACAAAGCATTTTGAAACCTGACTATGGGTTTGCCCTGGACAGTTGAAGGGCACCCAGCTTTTTAATAGCTCTGTCTTAGCATCTGCTTGCCATGCTATTTCTAAGACTGGTGAGGACAAGGACAATTTGTGGAAAGGTTAGAGAAGGTGACCCCTGTTTAAGATGAATACAGATGAGTTCCTAGAAGTACGGGGCTGGGCAGCCCAGTGGCAGAGTGCTTGCCTACCATGGGCGAGACTCTTGGTTCCACCCCCAGCAGCACACAAAATATAATTACACAATCCTTTTTGTTTTTCTCCCATTTCTACCTCAAAAGCACTAAGAGATTTAGTTAAGCATTCCTTTACATGACTGTGATAGAATTCTTATGAAGTTCTCAAGCAGTTTTCTTTTATAGAATCAGGAAGGCAAAGTGTTAAAGATTGACATCACAGTTTCTTGAAATGTCCTTCCAAAAGCAGATCACCTCTCTGTTTGGTCTTTGCCAGTTCTGAGGCTTGAACTCAGGGCCTGGATACTGTCCCTGAGCTTTTTTCTTCAAGGCTAGTGCTCTACCACTGAGCTAGAGCTCTGCTTTGGGCTTTTTTTATTGGATAGGGTAGTAGATAATTGGAGGTTAAAGTCTCATGGATTTTCTTGCCGGGTTTGGCTTCAAACCATGATCCTCAGATCTCAGTCTCCTGAGTAACTAGGATTGCAGGTATGAGGTACCACCACCTAGTTCTGTCTGGTTTTTCTATCCTCCAAAATCTTAAGGTATTTGTATTCTTAAGCCAGTAAAAAGTAAATGGTGCTGGGCGCCTGCTAGCTCTCCTGTGTCTGGACTTACCTATATATATTTTTTTAAATTTTATTTTATTTGTGAACATGCTGTACAGAGGAGTTACAATTACATGGGCAGGATAATGCGTACATTTCTTACCAAGCATTGCAGCCTCCTCCTTTGTTTACCCTTCACATCCCTTCCCAGCCTCCCCCCTCCCCCCCTGGACTTACCTATATTTTGCAGAGCCTTAGGGATTGTTTTTAGTGTTACTCAAGTGAGAACTCCATGAACTATCGATCTATTGACTATCAAAGAAGTGATGTAGTTTTGTCTTAGATAGAGTCTAGACAGGGATAATAGTCACCCAAGAGTTGGAATTATGAATGAGACCACCAGTTAACTTCTCTCCAGTTCTAACTGGTGGTCCCCGTACCTCAGCAGGGGCATACCCCTGTTCTGCAGAGCATAGTTCACCAACTGCCATTGGTCATTGGCAGGCGAAGCATTTACTTGAGCATGCTGCCTGTGCTCTGTGATACTGAGTGAAGCAAGTTTTACCCTCCAGTGTGATATCATTCTGTCAGTGTGAGGTGAGCGTGAACTGGCATCATGTGCTCTCGAGCACTTTGTGTCATGCCTGGGGCATGCGAGGACCCAATTCAGAAAAGGTGCCTTTGCTCTTCTCTTTTTCTTTTCTTTCTTTTTTTTTTGGCCAGTCCTGGGGCTTAAACTCTGGGTTTGGGTGCTGTCCTGGGCTCCTTTTGCTCGTGGCTAGCACTCTACCACATGAGCCATAGCACCGCTTCTGGATTTTTCTGAGATTAATTGTAGATAAGAGTCTCACAGTCTTTCCTGCCTAGGCTGGCTTCAAACTATGATCCTCAGATGTCAGCCTCCTGAGTAGTTAGGATTATAGGTGTGAACCATTAACACCCAGACACCCATTATTTCCATTTCTATTTAGTTGAGCTCTTATATTTGACAGTAAACAGTGACTTAGGTTATATGTTGGCTATATAAACCAGTGTACTCCTAATGTTGACTTGGGCTCTGTGGTATTTATAATGATAGTGTTTTTGTGCTTATTGCTCATTTTGTAGATCTTTTTTACATTTTTAAACGAGTGATAATTTCATCAAGTTTGGTTTTTGAGATTCCCTGGGCTCCTTTTTTTTTTTTTGTTGTTGTTGGTCATGGGGCTTGAACTCTGGGCGCTGTCCCTCAGCTCTTCAGCTCAATGATAGCAGTCTACCACTTGAGCCCCAGTGCCACTTCCAGTTTTCTAGTGGTTTATTGGAGATAAGAGTCTCACGGACTTTCCTACCTGGCTTTGAACATGATCCTCAGATCTCAGCATGAGCCACCGGAGCCTGGTTTCCTGGACTGTTTACTGGTGGTCTTCATAGGTTCATTTGTGGTGTTCCCTTTTTCTAGGTCTTGTGCAGAAGGCAAAGAAAGCAAAGAACAAGTTGTTGAAACGAGAGGGGGATGATCGAGCAGAAGCGGGGGCTCACGGATATGAGTCTTTCAGCTACGGAGGGGTTGATCCTTACATGTGGGAGCCCCAGGAGCTTGGTAAGGAAATGCTGGCATGCGTGCATATATTCACTCATTCAGCAGATGGTTGTTAGGCATCTAGGATAGTCGAGGCAATATTATGAATATTGGTTGAGGTGGAGTCAGTTCTGTTTCTCAGGGACCTCATGCCCTTGTATGAGTCAGTGAGTGGAGATTCACCATGTGTCAGGCACTGCAGTGCTTTGCATGTGTGGTCTGGTTAATCCTCACTGCACCCTGTGGGAACCTGCCCATGGTCGAGTAGCTGGTGAACTGCAGAAGTGGTGTGTGATGTCAGCCCTGGCACAGATCGCATTGGCAGGTCTGTCTTCACTCAAATAGGGCGTTACCTGCCAAGTGAGAGGCACCTAATTGTTAAGAACATAATTATAGCACTGTCTGCTATGTCAAACCTAAGGGTCTTTTTGTGTGTTTGTTGGTCCTGGGGCTTGAACTCAGGGCCTGGGCATTGTACCTGAGCTTTAGTGCTCAACGCTAGTGTTCTGTCACTTTGAGTTATAGCTCTACTTCAAGGTTTTTTTGGTGGTTATTTGGAGATAAGAGACTTAGGGCCATTCCTGTCTTGATTGGCTTTGAACCGCGATCCTCATATCTCAGCCTCCAAAGTGGTTAGGATTATAGGTATGAGCCACCAGCACCTGCTATAATTGTCTTTTTGGGGTGATGAAAACATTTCAGAATTTCATGTGATGGTTATTCAATCTTGTGTATATATCAAGCAGTTGAATTTGTGTGAGTTTTATGTATGTGAATTATATCTCAGTGCAGCTCTTACCATAAATGTGTTCTGCCCTCCAGACTGTGTTGAGCTATCTAATCTTACATGTACTTTAACTGTGGGATAGTAATCATTAGTAATATTTTTAGGGAGTGCTTAGGACCTCATGTATGCTAATTAGGTATTTTGCGTCTATGACAGGGATAAATGAGGTAAAAAGCACTGTGGATGAGCACAAATGAATAAAAAGCACTATGATTCCTTCGTAGTGCTTTACTTTCCCAAAAGCCTTCAGAGATAGGGTGACCCTGATGCTCATTTCCATTCGTACATGAGGAAATGGAGGCTATAAGCAGGAAGGGATATTCACCCACAGTGTTCTGTATCCCAGTATCCTGTAGTGCCATTGTAGAAGGTGATTTTGTATTTTTTGTTTTTTCGGAGGGGAGGACAGTACCGGGGTTTGGACTCAGGTCGCTCATTTGTTCGGTCTGCCTGCTTTCAGCTGGCCCTTGGACACCTGAGCCCCTCTGGCCTGGCTTTTTGCTGGTTATTTTGGAGACAGTCTCATGTACTTTTCTGCCTGGGCTGGCCTTTGAACTCTGTAGATCTCAGCCTCCTGAGTAGCTAGAATTACAGGTGTGAGCCCCTGGCACCTGACAGAGGTAACCTTCTGATGAAGAAAATTTCAGAAATGTGCTCTTCATATGGACACTGTTGAAATAAACGGAAATAAGTCATTTTCTTAAACATATACTAGCTACATTTCAACTGTCCAGTTTCCACCCTACTGGAGAGTGGGAACATTCTATTCTCCTCATTGTAGGAGGAAATTGCTCTAAAAATTATTCTTTATATATGAAAACCAATTAGAAACTGAAGAAGTACAAATTCCAGACATATGAATTCTACTTAGCTCTGTGATAACTTACCTCATGATTGCTAGAGTCATATCACCAGGCTGGTTTTCTGCTTAACTTGCCTGTTTCAGCAATTGAAGGAAATCATGTTGAACACCAAAAAAGGGCACATTTCAGGGCACATCTTTGTAGTTACCCCTAAGAATTCTAAACTAAAATTTAGTTCGATCGATGTTAGAGTATGGCTAGGGAGGGAAAGGCACAAGTAAGAACATCACGTGGATATAAGTGGATCTAAGACTTTTCAGGGCTGGGATGTAGCTCTGTGGCACACTTGGCTAGCAAGTGCAGTGTCCCGGGTTCATTCCCCAGTACCAAAAAAGAAAAGACAAAAAAAAGAAGACTACAGATAGGAAGACTGAGTTCAAGGTACCCATGATATAACACTACGTTTAACTAATATGTTTGTTCAACTAATATGTTTGTATTCTATTCCTCAAAATTTCTGAGAGAATAGATTTTAAATGTTACAAAATGTAAATGAGATAATACATGTGTTTATTAGCTTGGTGTAGCCCTTCCATGTTGAAATATTGCAGCAGATCTAATGCATGATAAAATATATAAAAGTTTTTGTTAATAAAAAAAATGATGAAAGCCCAGCATGTGACAGTGACCAGAGGGAGGTGTAGGGTGCTGGGGGGCCATGGGTTTGCTATACGAGATGAGATCTGTCAGGAGATAATTCAGGAAAAGAAAGGAAGGAGGGCTGTGACTCAAAGTGGAAGTGTGCTAGCCTTGATCAAAAGAGTTCAGAGACAGTGCCCAGGCCCTGAGTGCAAGCCTGATTCCTGACCCCCACCCCCCCAAAAAAAAGAAAGGAAGGAAGGAGATAGCTTGGATATGCTGTGGCAATGTGCTGGTTGGTCCCATCTGTGCTGGGAACCTGTCTCCTGGATCTGGGCTGCTGGACTGAGGATGATACTGATTTAACTAGCTACTAAGGGCATCTACTGTCACTTGAAGCTTTTGGGCCATTTTGATCAAAAGTTATATTGTATCAACTCCAGAAAGTACTACGTGTTCAGTGTTTACCATTTACATGCCTGGTAAGTGTTCTAAGGACTTTATAAGTTTTATTTATTTAGTTTTTAGAACACTGAACTAGTAATTTTGTTACCTTCATTTTGTAAGTGTGGCTTCTCAGTTCCAGAGAGGTGAAGTAACTTGTCCAAGGTCACCCAGTGTGTGGCAGAATTGACACTTCTAGTCTAAGCTCCAATCTGAGGCCTCTCAGGGCCATGAGGCCACTAAGGGCCATGTGAGCATTTTCACAAATTCCACTTGCGTTCTAGTTTTGAAATTTTTAGTAAGACTAAAACCCTAGGCATTTTACTGGCTTTGAACATCCGTTGAGAATAAGCAAGGGTAGGAAGGAGTTTTCAGAAAGATTACAAGCCATTTGTCTTCCCATGTTCCCTCCTAGGTGCCGTGAGAAGCCATCTCTCTGACTTCAAAAAACATCGGGCTGCAAGAATTGACCATTATGTTGTTGAAGTCAATAAATTAATAATCAGGTTAGAGAAGGTAAATTTTTAGTTTTAAAACACTTTTTCCTGAAAGTACGAACCTCCCCCCATTTCTGCAGGATGTACTAAGTGCGCCCTGTGGATGTGGTGGTGGCAGAGGGTGCAGTGGGCCCCGAGGACGTGTGCTGTGGAGGGAGTAGCCCAGACGAACAGACTTGCCCAGCTTCCTTCCACCCATGAGGCCCTGTTGTTACTGGAAACCCTTTCCTTTTTGGGGTGTCTCAGGCATAGCCCTTCAGTGGGTGTGATGCCACCTGGTGGTACACAGAAATGCAGTGACAGGTCTGCGAGGAGTGCTCAGCTAGGTCAGTGTGCAGGAGGACCTCTTGACTGGCTTCTTGTCCTGTGGTCCCAGAGAGTGTCTACAGTGCAGAATCGTGCTGTGCAGTGCCCCTTGCCCTGGGTGCAGGGGACAGCCCTAGGGACCTCTACTTCCTGTGTGGGGATGAGAACCCAGGGCTTCATGCATGCTCTACTGCTGAGCTAGTGTGTGTGTGTGTGTGTGTGTGCGTGCCTGTGTGTGTGTGTGTGCATGTGTGTGTGACTAGAGATTGACCCCAGAGTCAGGTACCCTTTGAGCCTCCTGCTTCTCCTTCCCAGGAAGGTAGGATCGGGCGTGCACCACCAGGCCTGGCCAGGTACACTGTGTTTGACGATACTAGGGGCTTGTGCTAGTGCTCCTTCCACGTGATGACATAACCACGACTGCCACCACCACGCTTACCCCCTCCTTCTTTTTTTTTATTGTGAAAATACTGTACAGAGGGGTTACAATTACCTGGGCAAGATAATGAGTACATTTCTTATCAAGCATTGTAGCCTCCTCCTTTGTTTCCCCTTCCCGTCCCTTCCCATCCTCCCCCCCGTCCCCCCCACCCAATCCTCCCCCCCCCCACCAAAGTTGTAAAGTTCACTTTCAACATAATGACTTGTGCATCTCATTGTTGCAGTGGGTGCACCCCTCCCTTCTTTATGTGGTCCTTTTAGGCAGAAGCATGTGACCAGTTTTACTGTGCACGAAAACTGGAAAACTGGAAAATCAGTCGCTCCCACTGCTTTCAGTCCTGCCCTGCCCCCATCCTCACCTACACCTGGCTACCTGGAAACAGGTGCCAACAGGGAAGAGATTGGAGGTAGATCCTAGAAAGAGGTGCCTTCTAGATCTGAAACGACAGCTCTGTTCTGTGCGAAACTGCACTCCTGGCAGCACAGTTAGGGATGACGAGGCACTTGAGAAATGCAAGGTGTGCATTCCTGCTTGAGTGAGTAGCAGGGAATGTCCCCTGATTAACTCCATTTGGTACTGTTTTCTCCTGCTCAGCTCACTGCATTTGACAGAGCAAATACAGAGTCTGCAAAGATTCGAGGTAACTAGAACTTTGCTCATATTCATTCTAATTTTGTTTTCCTGGCCAAAAACTTAAAAAATTTTTTTTGTTTGTTTTCTGTTTTGTTTTTCCCAAAGCAATAGAAAAATCTGTGGTGCCTTGGGTCAATGACCAGGATGTCCCTTTCTGTCCAGACTGTGGGAATAAGTTCAGCATTCGAAACCGCCGCCACCACTGCCGCCTGTGTGGGTCCATCATGTGCAAGAAGTGCATGGAGCTCATCGGCCTGCCCTGGGCAAGTAGGTGATCTAGCTAACACCACTGGCTCAGGGGCCTTGCTGTCTACTTCGTGGCTCGTGGGGTCTTCATTAATCCACTTACAACTTGGTGACACTCACTACAGCCACTGCTACCACCACCGCTGTGCTGGGGCAGGAGTCAGGGTCTGTGTCGGGCTGGTAAGCCTTTTTATGTAAGGGGTCAGATGGTATTAGGCATTGTGGGCTACCTGTGGTCCCTGTGCTGTACTTCTTCCTTTTTTTTTTTTGGTCTTTTTAACAATCATACGTGAACATTAGCCAGGTACTGGTGGTTCATGCTTGTAATCCTAACTACTCAGAAGGCTAAGATTTGAGAATCATAATGTGGAGCCAGCCCAAGCAGACAAATCTCTTATCTTCAACTAAGTAGCAAAAACTGGAAGTGGAGGCATGACTCAAGTGGTAGAGTGCTAGTCATGGGTAGAAAAAGCCAATCAAGAGCACAAAGCCCCAAGTTCAAGCCCCTGTACTGGCCTAGCATGTGCAAGGTCCTGAGTTCCATCTTTAGCACTTGAAGGAAAAAACAGTACAAAGTATACTTAATTTAAGGGCTGTCCAAAGCGGCTGCAGTCTGGACTCACAGGTCTTTGTACATGTCTGGTCTGTAAGGCGTCATCGCTTGTTCTCACAAGGAGCTCAGCATCTGGCAAATACAGACTCAGGACTAAAGGACTGTGACACAATTGTATCTCGCACTCTGAGAGGCTCAGCAACGATTTTATCAGCTCAGCTTTGCGAGACTTTGGGAAGAATTGAAAACAGAGCAGTGGGCTCATCCTCCCTGTTATACAGAAAGGACTAAGGTCACATAGGAGCTACTGAGTGCTTTCGGGGCCTGGGGCTTCACCTGCATGGCAGCAGTATTACTTTCTCATCGGATCCCCACCCCAGGAGGCAGAAGGGCAGGTCCTTGCCCATAGGTAGCGCCTGATCTTACTTCCCAGCTCAGCCTCCTGTAGACTGGCAGCCCACTGTCATGAGCAGCAGGATAATGCATGCTGTGGAGGTCATGGCTGCCTGTCTGTTGTTTACAGATAAGCTTACCAGTGCCAGCAAGGACTCCCTGAGCACCCACACCAGCCCCAGCCAGTCACCCAATAGTGTCCATGGCTCCCGCCGGGGCAGTATCAGCAGCATGAGCAGTGTCAGCTCGGTTCTAGATGAGAAGGATGATGACCGGATCCGCTGCTGCGCACACTGCAAGGACACGCTGCTCAAGAGAGAGCAGCAGATCAACGAGAAGGAGCACACGCCCGACATCGTGAAGCTCTACGAGGTGATGTGCCAGCCGCCCTCGGGTCTGCTTTGCCTCTTAGCTGCGTACATGCTTCCAGAATCCAGAGAATGCTTTGGGGCGTGGCTCCTGCTCAAGGGCTGGGCTATGCTGTTCCAACCTGGGTCTCAGTGAGCCACCGAATCCTCCTGGGTGTCTTCTCACTATGCATTTCTCCAATTTCCATTGCCCACTTGAAAGTGGGAAGGTGGGGACTTTGGGCAAGGGAGGTAAAGCAGCTGCTGTGGTATGGATGGGTTCTGTGGGGAAGGCAGAAGCTGGAGGTGTAACAGTGGACTGGAAGAATTGCTGGGGAAGGCTGTTCTTCGTTGGATTGAAAGGTGTTATACATTTCCTGGCTTTCCATTCTGACTGCCTATTGGCTGAGAGCCCCATTTAAGTCCCAAACGCCTTAGTTCTTCGTACCCCACCGGTGACCCCAGAATGCCACGTACAGGCATGGTCTGAGGATGCCTTGTATGAGGCTGACTGGCCTTCCGATGGCCGGGTGAGGCCCGAAACCTGGGCGGGGAGTCAGGGGTGGAAGAAGCTGCTTGTGCAAAACTCTGAACTGAGTAACAGTTTGGGTTTTTGTTTTGTTTTTCTGGGGAGTTTGTTTTTTGGTTTTATTTATGCTGGTTCTAGGACTTGAACTCAGGGCCTGGGTGCATTCCTTAGCTCTTTTGCCAGCGCTCTCCCACAGCCACAGACCCACTTCCAGCATTTTCATGGTTCAGTGGCGATAAGAGTCAAACAGCCTCTCCTGCCCAGGCTAGCTTTGAACCTTGACCCTCAGATCTAGCCTCCTGAATAGCTAGGATTATAGGCTCGAGCCACTGGTCCCTGGCTAGGAACAGTGTTTTTGTCCAATGACCACTGAAAGGTCACTGCAGATCATGATGTCAGGTAAATACTGAAGTTTCCAGAAACAATGTGAGTTAAACTGGCACTGAGCTGCTAATGTTGCCTGGGGTCCATGACCTGCTGTCACCTTTGTGAGTAGCCACGGTGCTTTGTGCCTCCTTCTGTTGGGAAAGAAGCTCTGGCCGTGCTGGTCTCTCAAAACTCTGGATCCAAGACTCTACCCTCATTTTCTTTTCTTCCTGTAAGCTTTTCTGCCTTGAATGTAGGTGTGCATAAGTTAGGGGCAAAAGCCCTCCCGGCTTGAAATATTAGCATTTTCCGTATGTCTTTGTTGTGTGGCCAGGCTTCTGTGTCAGTGTATTTTGAGACCACCACTCACCTCTTCTTTTTTTGTTTCTAGAAGTTGAGACTTTGCATGGAGAAGGTTGACCAGAAGGCCCCTGAGTACATCAGCATGGCAGCGTCACTAAAGTAAACTGCTGTTCTGTTCTCTAATTCACCGGTCACTTTTCTGCCACTTTAGGTCAGATCTGCAGTGGCTGAAAGTGCTAGTCATCTCTTCTCTTTTTTTCCTTTCCTCTGGTGGTGGGTATAGAACCCAAAGCCTTGTATATGCTGAGCACATGCTCTGCCACTAAGCCTTACCCCACTGGGCGTCTTACCTCTTAGCCATGCTTTTTTTCTGTGGCTAGCTGACAAGACTCCATGTCTATATTTCAGTGAGGCATGAACTTAGTAAAAATATGTAGTCTTGTTTAGGTGACGGGGCCATTCTGACCGCAGGTTTGGGAAGTGCCCGGAAGGAGTAGCCTCTTTCCTGCCCATGCCTGATGCACACTGGCAGTAGGGTGTCGGAGCGTATAGCTACCATTTCCTTTGCAGCAGTAGTTGGCAGACTTCAGTCTATTGGTTAAATCTAGTCTGCCATCTGTTTCTTTTTGCAAGTAAGATGTGGCTCACACACTTTGTCAGTCGTGGGGCTTGAACTTGGGGCCTGGGTGCTGTCTCTGAGCTCAACTTCTGGTTTTTTGAGTAGTTAATTGGAGATAAGAGTCTGATGGGGATTTTACTGGCTTCGAATCGTGATCCTCAGATATAGCTAGGATTAGAGGTATGAGCCCCCGGTGCCCAGCTCACACACCTTTTTAACATGTACAGTGAAGTGATTTTTATGATATCCCAAAGTTTGCAGCCGTCAGCGCTGTCTTATTCCAAAGGGTTTTTGTTAACTAATTAACTTCATGCCCCTTAGCAGGCACCTCACTTCCTGTCAACTACTTGTTTCCTCTTCTCTCATCAGTTTGTCTCTTGTTTACATTTCGTATAAATGGACCGTAATTACATGACCCTTTGAGCATGGCCTTTTACACAGGGCAGGGTTTTCAAGATTCATCCATTGGGTGTGCATTAGTACTTGATTCCTTTGAATGCATGTGTTAGATTTATCCATCAGTCAAAAATAAGATTTCCATTCTCTTTTTTTTTGGGGAGGGGGGGAGTGGTGATATATTGTACTAGGGTTTGAACTTAGGGCCTTATGAACCATGCCTCCAGCTCTGCTTTTTGCTGGTGATTTCGGAGATGGAATCTTGAGATTTTTCTGCCCAGGTCTGTTGGGGATTCCTTGATCCGTTTTTTATTCCCCTGCTCTTGGGCAGAGTGAAAAAAATATAATGGTTTGATGCTCTAAGGTACTGTGACTAAGTCATTCAGTAAATCACTATGTAGTTCTATAAGATGCAGTGTAATTGTACAGGAAAAGTGAGCCAGAGTGGATTCAGCTGCATTTATTTTGTCTGTGAGCATCTAGTGGTCCTCGGAGCCAGACCACAAGTATGTCCCCGAGGTGTCTGCACTTTGAGAAGTGGCTTCTGGTGGATTAGTGCATCCTGAGAAAGGAATAGTGCATTGTTGAATGTGGAATGCCCCCTTGAGAGCTGTCCCTGCCTCTGTGAGGCCTTAAACCCCAAGAGTCTTCCTGTACCACAAACTGCACTCAGCATGTGAAACTCAGATCCAGTGTTGTGTGGTTTTCCTTAGTGCCGGGGAGACGACCTACAGTCTGGAACATGCCAGTGACCTCCGACTGGAAGTGCAGAAAGTGTATGAGCTAATAGATGCGCTAAGGTAAGGTCTGCCCAGCGCAGGTCTGTTGCCGACTGAGGGGAGAAGGTGATGTTTTGATTGAATAGTGGCGGCAGAGCCCTCCTGGTAGCAGCCGGGTTGTGTGAGGAGCTGGCCTGTGCCTAGGTGCTCAGGCACTTAGCTCATCTCACAAGTTTCTGGCTAGGGATTTCATATTAAACACATAGGAGTGAGCTGCGGACACCAGCTGTGTGCCTGTCACTGGCCTGTTCTCAGGGAGCAGCTCATTGGCTCGACTTGAGTTCCCTGTGAGGGGACCGTCAGCATCCCGAGGAGGCACGGGAGAGAAAGCACACCACAGCCAGCACCGGAGGAGGAGTTGGGGGAGGAGCCAGGTTCTTTGTTCACATCTAAGCTGCTTAGACTGTGGATGGGTTGTTGAGGTTCTCAGCCCTTTGAGGCTCAGAGGGATAATTGAGATGAGGACCCACTGTCTACCTGGACATACAGGACATCTCCAATTTAAACATGATCAAGAATTGAGGACAGTGACAGCAGGGCGTTAAACGAAGTCTGGATCCTTTGAAGTGCCAGACCGGGGGCTGGGAAGGTGGCTCAGTGGTAGAGCGCTTGCCTTGCATGCTTGAGGCCCTGGGTTCGATTCCTCAGCACCACATAAGCAAAAAGAAAAAAGCCGGAAGTGGCGCTGTGGCTCAAGTGGTAGAGCGCTAGCCTTGA